AAAAAAAAAAAAAAAGAATTGAACTCAGGTCCTTGTCTTGCCAGACAGACACTTGTGCTAAGCTATATCCTTAGCCCTTATGAATTTGGTAACATCAGTTTATGTCAATATAATTAGTACAAAAAGAAAAATTTTCTGAAAATATGTCTAAAATTGGAGAAAATCTGAGTCACTCTTAATATATTTGCCAATAAATTTGGTACAGATCAAGTAATTATAAAAAATTACTCAGCAACTCTAGGATTTTTTTAAACTATACTTTCACACACAAAACTAATGTCTTCATGTTTGCTGGGATAAAGACGAAAACAATACATGAAAAATTTCCCTTAAGTTATTCAACTAGCTAAAAAAATTCACAATTTGAAATGGTACACAGTATAGTCTAGATGTGGTTTATAAAAGAAAGATAATGCACAACTTTAATCAACAGGTACAAGATAAACTAAAAGAAAAGAAATAGGGTCCTGTACAAAAAGACTGGTGAATGATGGGCTGAGGGAGGCACTGGGGATTGAACTCAGTCAATGACATCCCCAATCTTTTAACAAATTTTCCAAGTTTAATTGCTTAGGCTGGACTCCAACTTGTAATCCTCCTCCCTCAGTCTCCAAGAGTACTGCTGATATTACAGATGTGTACCACCGCACCCAGGTCACATATATTTTAAATTAAAATGTTAGTAACAAAAAAATCTGACAAATACTGAAAACGAACAACATTAGAAATGTATTAGAAACTTTTCTTTCTCTTGGGTGAAATCATGACAAACAAGAACAAAACTACTTAATAAAATTCAATGTTACAAGTTAAAAAGATGAAAGAAAACTATCAGAATATTTGAGGTGATAGTTGGTAAAGAATATAGCTGAGAAATGGAGTTTTAAAACTCACCACTTTTTTCCAGCTGCTGGATTATGGGGCCAGGTGTGACAAAGCCGTTATCACTGGTTCTAGCTTCCGTTTCTACAGCTACCTCACTGGTGACAATTTATAAGAAAATTATAAGTTTTAAAAAAATTCATATTAAAAGTGTAATCTTACAATGTATCATGAAGCCTAGATTAGTTCAGCCTGTGTGTTTTTTTGTTTTGTTTTGTTTTTTATGGAATGAAAGTCCCATAGAACAAATCTTTTTAAAATATACATACACAGTTGTGGTTCATAAGAGGTTAAGAACCATTTTCCACTGACAGTCTTGAAAGTGCAGCAAAAATCTATTAACTTATACTAAAACAAGCTTGACTCATTAAACTAGAAATTATGTAATCATAAAGTACAGCTGCACAACCAGTATACAGAAATACATAAAAAACTGTCAGTGTTGTAGAGTAAAACTGGATCTTACCATTGTACTAAAGTTGTCCAAGCCAACTAACTACCCAGCTGTCTGGAATAGTTATAAAGAGAAATAACACCCAACACTGCTGATGAAGATCCCATCAACTTCCAGATAAGAAGTGCCCAGTTTTGAACTGGAATACAGTGAACCATGAAGTTCTTAACATCCAGTATACACAAAGCAGTATGTGAATATACATGGTTTTTTTAACTTTTTTTATGGTATAGGAGACTAGAGGAGGGCTTCACACTTGCTAGAAAATCACTCTATCACTGAACTGATATCCTTATCCCATTCTGTACTCTTGGTAAGAATTCAAGTAAATATAACCTCAAACTATTTCAACAACCAAAACTGTTTTTTCATATTTATAGTCATCACTCCTTAATTCCTGGGTACAGTTCAATCACAATCACCTCTTAGTTAGGGTCTGCAATGTTGCCACTGCTCACCAATGTGTGTATAACAGCTGCTGAAAGGGTACAGCACTGTGTCACATTTGTTGCAAGTATTTTCTAGGTTTGTCTCTTTTACATCCTTACATACTTCATGTTCTGTTATATATTCCTGAATGGAATATCTGAATATCATTCAGATATTTAAAATGTTACAGGAACTTACAAGTCTCTTGCAATTACGAATAAATACACAGGTAGTTCCAGGGTACCTGCATTGTCTAAATGGGTAAGTTAGCTACACTTGCTTCTTCCAACTTTTAAAGGCTTTTTGATCTATTTATAATTTAACATGAGATAAAGATTATTTGATCTTTCTCCAAACAGTTAACCAGTTGTCCCACTTTAGCAACAACAACAACAAAAAACCTTGGCCTAGATATATAACACAGAGACTTTTCATTTCTATTTCTTATCTCTTGCATTGGTCAGGGCATCAAGAATGATGTTAAATAATAAATGGTGACAGTTTCACTATTAGTAAGTATCCAACTTAGAGTTTGCTCAAGCCTTTTAAATGAAGAACAGAACTAGGCATGGTGGCACATGCCCGCCCACAGGAGCCTGAAGCAGAAGGATGACCAGAGCTTGAGATAACCCTACGCTACATAGTGAGTTCAAGACCAGCCTGAACTACACAGTAAATCCCTGTCTTTAAAAAAAAAAAAACAGGGGCTGGAGAGATGGCTCAGTGGTCTAAAGCACCTACCTGAAACAAGCTTGGCAAAGCACAGGGACCGCGGTTCAATCCCCTAGCACCACATGCCAGCCAGCCC